TTATATCCTACACCAGGGGCGGATCCAGGAATCTGAGATGCCCTGGGCTGAATAGGAATTATACTAAGCTTAAATATTAGAGGGGTGGGCTAAATGTGAAAAATGAAAAAATTTACATTAAAAAATTGAAAAATTTCTAAGTTGCTCTGGGCTTCAGCCTACCATAACCTGTACATAGATCCTCCCCTGTCCTACACCCTGTATTTTTTGTAACATATTAAAACTTTGAGCCTATTAATAAAGCTCTTATCATTCCGGGAGTACGCACTTACCCACTCATGCAGTCCTTTTTTTTGTTTAACTTCTTGCGTAGCAAGCTTAGCTTGTTTCATGTTGTACACACTTAGAGGCCGTTTGGCAACACTGTTTTTCAACTTATCAGGCTTATAAGCTAACTTTTCACCAAACACGTAATTTTTGCTTTCACGCGCTGAATTATGTAATAAGCAGAAAAAGTAAAGTTGAAGTTACTTTTCTGGCTGTATTGGCTGAAGTTAGTGTAAATGATCATTGTAGCTATTTTTACACATTATTTTTCTTTACTTTATTAATAAAATATATTTTGAAAGTAACTTTTTCTTAAATCAACAGAACCAGCCAATGCAGCCACTTCAGCCAGAACTTCATATATAAATGTCAGCAGAATCAGCCAAATCAACCGATTTTCGTGTTACCTGACATTCTCTTAATGTCTCTGTTCTTTGAGTGTTTCATCACTTTCATGTTGCTTTCTTTTTTTCCTTTTTAACAACTTTTAACAATAATTTTAATTAATGAAAATGTGAAATATAAAATATCCATATGATTTAACGTCTCGGCTTCCTTTTTTTTTTTCTAATCAACATTCCTTTATAATCTGTGAGTATTTTTGTTTGGGGCTCCCTATGAATATGCTTGTTGAGCCTTACAATAAAATCACTATTGGGGGGTTTGGACTGGTAGCTGACCCGTAAGGGGGTAACCCGGAAGGGGGTAACAGTGAGGTAGATGGGGGAGTTTGTTTTTTGGCTATGGCAAGAGTGGTATCTGACAAACCTACCCGTCCAATTTTTTTCGCGAAACTGTGGTCATGGGGTGGAGAACAGTTCAGAGTGTTTTTATTGAAGAGATTGGCGCCTCATAATTTCATCTCCAATTTTATCATGAAAGAAATGTTAGTCGAGCTGTCGAGGAAGGTCCTTGATCTTTTGATCAGAACTAGTGGTGATAAGGCTCTTAGGGCGTACTGATAGGCTTCTTAAAGCGTCCTTGGATCGGGCAGACTTTAGGGTTCAGTTTACAATTTGCCTTTAGGGTACACGACAACTAAAGCAGCTCGTGGAATTGGAAATAATGTAGAGAGTTTTGTTCAAGTTGATGATCGCACTCTAGGGGGAAACAACGACTGATCTTGCGTATTAGAGTTACAATTAACATAAATGTAGCTTTGATCTAGAGATTGTAGATTCGACAGGAAGTGGACTTGGGCATGTTGATCGTTTTTGTCCATCAAATCCACATAATGGTCCTTGTATTGGAGAAAAACCATATGGGTCAATGCTACGTGCAGACGCGAGACGAGGTGGCATATACCCGGGGAACAGGTGTTGATCCCTAGCAGAAACCAAATCAATGATAGCCGGGAGGAGGTGTAGAGCTTGGGCAACGCGAGAGGATATGTGATAGCTCAGGGTAGCTATTTGGTGGAAGGTTTTGCTCTCAAAGGGTTAGGAACTGGTTTCTCATAGAGAAGAACCAAGGAAATACAGGATAATAGAAATGGCTAGCTATTTGGTGAAAGGTTTGCCCTCAAAGGTTTAGGAAGTGGTTTCTCATAGAGAAGAACCAAGGAAATACAAGATAATAGAAGTGGCTAGCGAAGGATGGACATAGATGACATGAATCCAAAAAATTTGCAAGTGGCGGTGCTGTCTGGAGTGCACAACCAAATTCAGGGACAAGAGAGACCAGTGATGGAGAGTTGGACGGGGGGGGGGGGGGGGGGGAGCCTTCCCCATACTTAGCTGGGGATGGTCAAACCACAATACTTTCCCAGTGGCTGGAAAAAGTGGACCTTGTTATTCTTTTTATTCTTGTCTTTCTTCCCAAAACTTTTTTAGTTGCTTTTAACTTTCATTCTAGAAGCAGGTGCAATAATATGCTGTTGGTGGAGTCTACCAAATTGTGGATACACTTAGTTGGTTCGCCACTAAGCGACCATCAACTCTATGTTTCATCCCGGTGTAACCATTAGTTTGACGGCTTTGTATCTAGTCATTTTCTTTAATATGAATTAACTTATAGGAATATACCTGAGATCAACCCTAACAATACTGGCAAAAAAATGCCTTGCAAAGCTTCAATTTTATACCAAAGGATTTCAATCCACCAAAGGGACTATTCAAAGCATCCTTTACTTCGCAAGGTAATCACCCCACTAACCAATAAGGTTCTTTGTTATATTAGCACTACAAGTTAAATTCTATGCACAATTAATCAGCTTCGAGGAGGTTTTATAAATGCACTTTACTTATATAGTACGGAGTAATTTATATATATGCACCTTATCTATAATATGCTACGTTCGTCTCACTAACATTAGGACATGAGAGAGAGACAATCTGAACAAAGCAGAGAGAGTAATATTTAGTTTTCCCTTTTTACAACATTAGCCACACTTTATCCATGTTGTTGTCCACATTCATACAAATAAACAAGCATATAAACTACGAAGTATCAATTATCACATGCATTTTAAGTATAAAAAAGCGCGCTAGTATAGCACACTTTCTAAAATTGGCACTCTTTTACCAAATGAAAAGCACTTTTATAACGTGCATAAGTGTATTGTAAATATGTAGAAAAGTGAAATAATATATCACATTTCTATTATTTTACGTTGTCACTTTTTACAAAATGAAAATCACTTTCTTCTAAAGGCATCATAATTGTTTCATTATGATGACGTCTTTTGTTGTCAACCTTTATTAGCAAAAAAGTAAAATAAAAACGATTGAAAAGTGTATGGAAAAAGTAGGATAAGTGCATCGAAAGTTTAAATAAATGTGCACAAATCTGTTAGGTGACTATATTGTTAAGTTGTGAAATGCACAAAATTGCTTAAATAAAAGCACATTGGTAAATATTACTCCGTACTCCGTACTAAATATAATAATCTCTTATACGGAGTATTTCACAAATTGCAGAGCGTGTTTGAATTCAATTATACTGATTACATGTATAATAACCAATAGATAAATTAAGAAGCATAGAGCAAATAAATTTAATCTGCAAAATAACCCTATATACATTACGTCAAAAAGTTAATGAGGATAAAGTATAAAAATAACCAAACAATGAAGAGAAAATAAAATTGATGACCATCGAATTAATTAATTAATGGAGTGAGAAGTATGTGTCTACTACTACTAAACACGACAAGGTAGAAGAAATGACATAACAGTTCTGTACGTACAATTAGGGATATGTGAAAACAATTGTTGATCAAAGAGTTAAAAGTCATTCTCATGTCTTCCATTGTATTCTCAAATGATCTAAACTCTATATAGACACAAACAACATTCAATCCATATCCTCAAAATATTTTGGCGTCCCCTAACATGAATCAGAGTCAACATTATCAGAACCAAACTCTCTATCTCTCTACATATATCCATATAGATTTTGACTCAAGTGAGAAATGCATCTAATGCGAGATATGAGAATGAATCTTAGCCGTTACATTTACGATTTTGCACTAAAATAACTCAATGGTACAATAGGGTTTAAATTTTGCAATGCACTAAAATTGTTTCATCTTGCACTAAAATTTGGCGATGTTGCATCAAAATAACTTCATATTATACTACACAAATGTAATACAAAATTTTTACAAGTATTTACGAAAATGTCACCGTGCTAGGTTGCATATTTCAATGCAAATTTTCACAAGTATTTACAAAAACATACATATAAAATGCATTTATCTTTCAAAAATTATTTTACTTCCTTTCAGATTGACTTTTTAGATGAAATTTGATGGTTTAAAAATTGATGAAGAACATGCCCAAAAAATTGCATCAAAAAGTTACACCGGAAAGGGGTCCAAACAAACCTGACCCCCCTCTCCCTCCCTCCCTCCCTCCCCTACACACACACACTCCGTATAAGGAGAAATTTAGCTACAAACTATGCTTATTGTGAAAACGTTTGTATGATACATCTTTACGTTATTTGTATTGCATATTGAGATTCAACGTGTTACATATTATTCAGCCATATTATAGAAACTGCATATTAATGTTCAAAGAGTTGCAACCTAAAAAAGTTGGCTTTTATTACAAAAATGCCACCGTGCCTTTATAGCTTTTAGATCAACTCAACGGATGACCAATATGAGTTTGTAGTTTGTAAATTAAGAAGGATTTGTATTTAATCTCTATTATGTGTGTGTGTATAAATATAAGGGTTATGTAAAAAATATTAGTACAAATGAGTTTTGGACAAAAAAAGACCTTTCCTAATTTCAAAAAATGAGAATAAAAAGATGATAAGAGACTATTATACCCTTGTACTAATATAATAATCTCACTCATTAGTGCTAAAATGATACAATGACCAAGAGTGCGTCAATGACCAAAAATCCGTCAGTGACAAAAGAATCGACCGGACTCGATCCGCCATTCACATTTATCTGATCCGTCAGTTACAATAACTTTATCCGCGAGTTACAATTACGTGATCCGTCAATCATAGTTACCTGACCGGTCAATTAAAATTATCTGACCAGCCATTTACAATAATAGTTATCCAATCATAGTTACCTGACCGGTTAATTATATTTATTTGACCTGTCATTTAGAGTTATCCAATTCGAACAATTATATCATATAATTCGATCAATTACGATTACCGGATTCGACCATTTACAATTATTCGGGTCGAGTTTGATAATGATTACCGTTGACCACCACTTCCGAAAACAGCCAGAGCCCAAAACGATATGGGCCTTGGCCCAAAACAGGGGTTCTGTTTTGAGACTCCATCAGTCCATCACATTGTAGGAAAAGAAGCGGCATACGAGGTTCTGCTGCAGAATTAAGCAGGTGAAGATGAAGCTGAAGCAGCTAGAGGGGCTTCTTGGTTCTCTTGAACAGTTCACCAAGCCCAAGGTATGATCTTTCTTTCTATAAGCTTATGGATGAATGTCTATTTTTATGGTTTTTCTTTGAATATTAGATTTTCTGTTTTATGGCAGATTGAACTCGAACAATACCCAACTGGAGCCCACATAGCTTCCCGGGTGCTATACACTGTAAAATCTGCTATGTTTTTATACTTTTTACAGATTCCTTTAGTTTAGTTTGTTCTTGGAATTGATTGTAAGGGGGTGTTTGGATTTGATTCAACTGCTTAGGGAGCAGAAGCGAAGTTGGAGTGTTTGGGTGAAAGTACAGAAGTGATTCTGTTGTTACTCCTACAATCAGTTTTTTTAGAAGTGATTCTGATTCTGCTTCTACTTTAAAAAAAAGCAGAATCAGAATCAGTTCCAAACACCCCTAAGTTTGATTCCCATTTAGTATTGCGAGAAATTTTAGAGTGTTGCCGTTCTTAAGAAATCCTGTTTTCTTTCTGTGATAAGTTTAGGCTGAAACTTCATATGGGGATGTGAGCAATAAGGTAGTTGCGGATTTTGGTTGTGGTTGTGGTACCTTAGGCATTGGTGCAGCTCTCTTAGAAGCAGAGTAAGTGGATAACACTAATGCACTATCCCCTGAGTATTCCTTTAATTAGAAAAAGCTAAAAATTTGATCTTTGAGACTGTACTTTATGAGTAATTAAGTCATTTATGTCAGTTTAGATTCTTTTTTTTGGAATTTATAAAATTCTGCTAATAATTTTTTTAATTATCCATCGCAATAGACATGTTATTGGTCTTGATATAGACAGCGAGTCTCTTGAGATTGCAGTTGCAAATGCTGAAAACCTTGAGGTGCTTGTTTCTTGATTCTTAGAAGTGATCCCTACTCTATTTTTATTTGGTTCTATTGATGGGTAGTGGGGTTCTTGAAAGGTACTCTCAAGTAGCACCACAGTTGTTCAATTGATTTTTATTATTCCTGCAGGTAGATATGGATTTTGTTCAATGTGATATTAGTAAATATCAATGGAAAGGTATCTGTATCGCTTTGTACTTCATAAACTGTTGGTTTCCGTGTTTGTACTTTATAAAGGATATTAATATCACTGAATTTTTTAGATTGTTTACTGCTCTTCTACTAATCCACTTGTTAAGTCTTCATGTATAAGTTTAATATTGTTAAGCACTTTTATTTTCATATCATAGAATTGATTTTCATGATGGCTAGGAATGACATGTAAAGATGCAAATTGCGTGTTGAGAAGATTGTTATAGGCAGTTTCAAGATTCAAAAGGAATGAATCATTACAACGCTCATTTTCCACTTGCCAGGGGACAATTTTTAGGTTAAAAAAGAAAATGCGTGATTGAGGTTTTTAAATGAAGAGGCCAAAAGTAACTCCTATTCATAATAATCGCTTTAATCCCTACTGCACTAGGGTTGGTAAAATGAAATTTAGTGTCAGTTAGTTGTCTAAAATTAACCTAACTCAACTCTACCAATTAATGAAACAAAAGCATGAATTAAGCCAATAAGTTGATGTTAACTCTGTGTAGGCCAAATGTTTGATACTGTTGTTATGAACCCACCATTTGGAACACGGAAGAAAGGTGCTGACATGGATTTCCTTTTTGTGGCGTTGAAGGTGGGAGCAATGTTGTTAAATTTGGAGTTTCAGTTATTGTTCATCCGTATGCATGAAATTTAGTTTCTAATTTTTGTTGTTGTTAGGTTGCCTCCCATGCAGTTTATTCGTTACACAAGACTACAACTAGAGAAGTAAGTCTTCCTAACCTATCAACTCTACCATTTAGTCATGCAAGCTTAAAATGTGTTTTGAACCATCACATGTTCATATGTAAAATTAAAGCAAAATGTAACTCCTCTACGCTTCCATAGAAAATGGTTCAATATCTGTCTGCTTCATTGATTGGATAAGAAAGAAATATCAAGTTTCCTCCCACCAAATGTTCTAAAAGGTGTTATGTGCTAGTGGGCGGTGACCTGCTGCCCAGTTCCAAGCTCATCGCCTGGGGACAGCTCGTCTCCCTAAGTTATTTATGACTTCTAGTGTTATTTATTATTGGGTTATATATATGTTGCTAATAAGAAATGTTCATATAATTCTTAAATATTGTGAAATATGCTTTAGAATATTATATGAATATGCTTTAGAAATTTTGAAGAATATGCTCTAGGATACCATTATCCAATAGAACATTATTGGAATATTCTATGTCCTTATTGTATATTTATAAGGACTTGAAGTCTTAAAACCTCCAATAGAAACAAAGAGAGATATTCAATTATCTTATTTTCTTTATTTTCTTAGTTTTAAAAAAATACCGTAGTATCATGTTATTTCTTAAAAAGAATGCTTCATAAACTAACTAATAAATTTCTAAAATAAAATAAAAGGTTGTGTTTTGATTTTTGAGTCATTGGTATAGTTCAATGATGGATCAGAACTGATGGCGTTGTACTGATCTAATTGGTTGACTGATTTCCCTAAACAACTTGAAAAAATCAGGGCATGCCGACCACCACACAGCGCCTAGCCCAACTTAGGTAGGCGTTCGGCTTTAAGAACAGTGCCTCCAACTATGCACAATTACTCATTTAGGCCTTCACATAAACAGGTTACAATTTCGCACTTGATTGACGGAGTCCTCTAAGGCTGTTAGATTTTTGTGGTGCCTCTATAATGTTTTTGTTCATGGAATGTCCAGAGAAATCAGGAAGGTAACAAACACAATCTTACCTGATTTATTCATTTGGTGGTAATTACAGCACATCAGACGGGCCGCATTGCAAGATTACAAGGCTATTAGCGCCGAGGTTATATGTGAGGTACGGATAAATGTTCACTTTATAGAGTGGTCAACTATACGAATTGATTCTCTTCCATTTTCCAGCTACGATACGATGTGCCAAAGCTATACAAATTTCACAAGAAAAAGGAGGTGGACATTGCAGTGGACCTATGGCGATTCGTTCCTCCTAGACACACTAATAGTGGTGTACATAGTTAATCATACTATTAATAATTTCATTCATTGGCAGACTCGGAATTGTATTGTCAAAAGTTTTGAGTCTGCATAAGTTCAACTAAAAATCTTTTTTGAGGCAGTTATTTAGTCAGGCATGCAAAAGGCGGTGCTGGAGGCAAGCTATATGCTCCCTCTTCCCATAATGTTCTCTTCTTTTTGGCTATGGGCTGAAATTTCTTTATTTCAGCTAATAATTATTTGGGAGAATTTGACTTTGCATCCCACGTTTTGGGTGATATTAGACTTTGCACCCCATATTGAAAAAACTTTGATTTTGCACCCCAACACATAACATTTTGTGAAAAAAACATTATAAATGGGATGCAAAGTCAAAGGATTTTTAAGTGGAATGGAGTGCAAAATCAAAGTTTTTTTTTTGAAAATGGGGAGCAAAGTCCAATATCACCCAAAAAGTGGGGTGCAAAATCAAATCCCCCTAATTATTTAACTAGCCCTGTTTGGATGCAAGTCTAAACCCGGATAAAAATAAAAAACCAGGTTGAATCAAAACATTTGTAACGCTAGCGTTTCTATTAAGCGGATCATATAATACCTTCTGATCCCAAAGTACCCCGTGCATGTGCATATATCCAATGAAGACCATTAATCATTCTCTGCTCATTGCTTTGAAGACTATCTGTCCGCCTTCTTTTCCATACCACATGAATAAAATTATTTTTGGAGGACAGACGCATAGACAGTTAATATATACAAACAAGGGTGAGATGTTTATATTACATATACATGTATAAATTCAAAAATATTACACACACACATTAAAAGGGTGAAAATATAAAAATCATTATAATGAATATTTTAATCTATTAATAAATCATATGTCCGTTAATGTAATTTTATATTATCCCAACTCTAGACAATAGTATCTGATTCAAATAATAGTCCCTAATTCAAACATTAGCGTGTAGCATACAGTTCTAGCTCGTTGTGCCAAACATAGCCTTTATTGTTGATATCATTTATCTTAGTTCTAAAACCTGTAATTATTCTAATAGTCTTTTTCTCACCTGCTGATCCATTATGTTTTGTATTTATGACTTCCAACTCTCCAAAATTGTGAGTAGAGCAATTGTTACTCCTGTGGGCACACTGGATTCACAGTTCTTACTTTCTCTTTCATTCTTCATTCGTTTCTTCTCTTCTTCTAAAGAGTATTTATCTCCTTTGAATCAAGCCTTAATTTCATTCATTTCCTTCCCATAACATTGAGACAACTCTGTTCACATTGCTCTGATGAGCAACCACGATGAATTTTAGTTTGATTATTGGAATATGGCAGGCTTAATTTTAGTGAAAATGTGTTTTGGTGTTTTGTGAATTAGGAGTTTAAGTTTTGTTTTTTTATTTGATCATATCATACATTCATATGGTAGGAAAAGTGGTTGGAAAAGAGAGGGTATTGTATATTGGGAAATTTGCTAAAATAGTAGTAAAACAGTGTGTTTTCCCTAAGTAAGAGTTACAATGTTTCCTGAAGGACTAGAGTACTGTCGTTATCTATATCTATATATACCTTGTGAGTTGACTCGGGATGGACCCAGTCCCGATTCCGGTCCTAGACCGGCCGGTCCCGGGTATTATTTGTAAAGACCGGAACTGACCCGGGGTATAACGTACCCGGTTCCAGTCCTGGGCGGTCCAGTATTTTTTTTTCAATTTAATGTATAGAATTTGAATAGAAGTAGAATGGTGTTAGTTGTAGTGTGAAGTACTGTGAAAAAATGTATAAAATGCATGACAGCATGAGTAGGTATATATAGGAAAAAATTCTGGTAACCCCCCACCCCCAAACCCCTCCCCAAGTGCCAAAGAGCCGTTACTAGCTGTTCCAAATGGCTAGTTTGACTATGGGTGGACTCGTGCCGGTCCGGGCCAACCGGTCTATTCTTTTTTTTGGTTCTCCTTTTTAACCCCCTACCCCTCCCCCTCAACCCCAAACCACCTCAAATGTCTCAAAATACCTAATCCAACCCAAAACTTAAAAAAATTTCAAAAAAAAAAAAAAAAATTAAAATCCGACCCGGACCGGGCCCGAACCGGCCGGCCCGGTTCACCAAAATCAGGGCCTGAGCCCGGACCGCCATCCCACCGGGCCGGGTGGCCCGAACCGGTGCACCAACCGGTTGACCGGGCCGGTCTGGGCCCGCACAGTAGCGGGCCGGTCCGGTTCCGGGCCGGTTGGCCCGGCCCGAGTCCACCCCTAAGTTTGACCCCAGCCCCACCCCAGCCCCAGCCCTAATTAAAATCCAATAAAATAAAATAAAATGGCCGTTGTGACTGGAATTGGGACCGGGACCGCCCGGTCCGATCCCCAAACACCCTACCCAAGACCGAGAGCGCCTGAACCCTGGTCGGTTACCCGGTCCAAGCCCAGGACTGGAAAACCGGATCCGGTTCGGTCCCGCACAGTGGCGGGTCTGGTTCCGGTCCCTAGAGTCGGTCCGTGACCGCCTAACCGGGTCCATCCCTAGAGTCGACTACTTACCGAGCAAATCAACTGTGTAATTGTGTGAAGATGTGAAATAAAGTTCCCAGAGGCTGGTATTGTTCATTTGTTCCCTTCAATCCTTTATCTACTCTGTACTACGGAGTATATAGTTTAGATTTCTTTTAATTTGTTGTCAATTGGTAAGTTTCTTATACTACGTAGCTTATTGTTTACTATTTCAAAGTGTTTATTGAAACGTTTTAAATTAAATGGTTAAGAAAGAACTTAGCAATTGACGATGAGTGAGTGATCTTATGGGCAGTTCTCGTGCATCATTCAAGAAACTAAAAAGGACCATTAAAACAAGAAATATTTATTCTATCATCTAATTGATTCTAATCCTACATTTTTCTAATTTGAGTCATCACATACGCTGACATTTTTGGCAAACTATTGTCTTTTCTTTTTCAATTCAAGTCTTATTGAATTATTAAATAAATAAATAATAACTACAAACTTAAGTCCAAGCTAAGAGCAAATATAATCTACTACGTATAACAGTATAATACTCCGCACTTCCGTAGTATATCATGCATGCAGCTCCAAAATTTCCCATTTTTTCATATGCTCATTCATAAAAATAGGATGATGCCCCATCCCAAGGGCCTATGTTTAGGGATGGACTCGGGCCGGGCGGCCCGGCCCGGGAATCGGTCCGGGAGGCAGTTCGGGTCGGCCCGGCCCGGTAGGAATGCGGTTCGGGCTCTGGCCCTAGGATTGGTGAACCGGCCCGGCCGGTTCGGGCCAATTTTTTTTTTTTTTGAATTGTTTTTAAGTTTTTGGGTTGGGCTGGGTATTTTGGGCCATTTGAGGTGGTTTGGGGTGGTTTGGGGGGGAGGGGGGGGAGGGTTGGGGGTTAATTAGGAAAAGCCACAAAAAAAAATAGAACCGAGGCCCGGCCCGGCCTGGACCCGGGATTACCCGGGCCGGTTCCGGGCCTCCCATTCCTGAACCGAGGCTCGGTCGGGCCCAGGCCCGAACCGGGCCCGAACCGGAACCGGTCCACCCCTACCTATGTTACAAGAACTGATCGAATAGCCTATACACGGGAAGTAAATTGAGTTTTGATCTCACTCTAATGGAAATAGAGTGAAGCTCCACCCAAGCCATTACTTGGTGAGCTTCGCTCCCGGTTTCATATGCTCATTCATGCCACCCTTTTGAGCTGTACTGATTTCTTTCTTTTACCCTTTCTTTTATTTCATTGATAGTAATCTGCTGTACTTTGAGGTTCATTTATTATACAAGATCAGAGATCAGGTAGCTAAGGCCCAAATGTATTGTTAAAATGTGCCTCTAAACCAATCATCATAACTGAAACAAAAATTGATTTTAATTGCGGCTGTGTGTATATAGCAAAAAAAGTGAAGAGCACATTTAGAAAACGCAAACATTACCTCACATGAAGTTTGTTAAAATGAAATAGCATTAAAATAATATCTAAACCTTTAACTTTATATTCTAAACGAAAACGTATATATCACACTTCAAAAAAAAAAAAACGTATCAGATATATACCTTAATAAGCGTTCACACATTAATAACATTGTAAACAGGAGCATATTTCGAATACCTAAAGTAAACAATTGCTTTTGAGTACATTTAAAAACTACTCTCGGTCTCCTAAACCATGACCAACTTCTTTTTTGTCCGCTCCGAAAAATTTTGTCATTTCGATTTGAAGTAACAATTGTGACTAAGGTTATTTTCTCTCTTCTGCACAAATCTCAACCACATAATCTTGACTTTATTACTTTAGATGCAAGTCAACTTTGAAAAAGTTTTTATAGGAGAAAGAAAATGTAAGAGATCGAAGGGAGTTTAATTCAGCTAAAGTAAATCATAAATATCATAGGAGAGATTTGTTACAAAAAATATCATAGGAGAGATATGTGTTAACCTAATCCTTATTGATATTGTGATAATTTCTCTTCCATTACACCCGTCTATCATGCTACATACGTAGTATGTCATACATATAAGCATATTAATATTTGTTCCCACAAAATTGTAAATCTTCAAATAAAAAACGATCTATAGCTCAACTGTTCATATTTATTCCTCTTGACATAATGAGATATAAGTGAATCTAATTGAAACTCAAAAGTGCTCGCATTAATGCTAATTTTGATGTTGTGGATCGAAATTTTACATGGCAACGTGTAAGGTTGAAGTAGATTACTTAGGGTAGGAGATTTCTTGCAGAAGTAGCAAAGGAGGTAATGAAAATGGCAAAATTTAAGCTATAGGCTATTTGCGCCACCTACACGGCTACACCGAGCTTCTCAGTTTAGGTCAAGTTCTTCAAAATGATGATAATGTTTTACAAATATTCCAAATCTGTCTTTTATGAAACACATGTTTTTTATCCATCTCAATCTAAATAAATGTTAAAATTGTCATTCTTAATAGAATTGGTAGCGGGTTGGGTTTTTCACTCCAAAAAACAGCGTTTTTGGCACGGCCTTGGCACAAATATTTGGTACAGATTAGCCAAAATTTATAGAGTACTGTATGTATTTGGCACGGATTTGGACATAGATATGTCATATCCGTTCCAAATTCCGTGCCATTGTCATTTTGTGATCATCTATTTGGCACAACGTTGTGCAAAAACTATGTTATGATTCATGTCAAACTCGATCAATCTGTGCCAATACCGTGTCAATATCGTTGTTTTCTTGTAGTGAATTTATTGAGCGGAGATTTCCCGTCACCACCCGTCTATTTTCCATATCCCATCCATTCGTGATTCGTTCACCACCTGTTATATGTTTCATCCATAACCAATCCGTCTATAGTGATTAGTGATCAGGTTAATTGAGTGGATTGGGTTATTTGCGGATGAATTCACACATTAACAACCTTTAATTTCAAAAATCAAAGTTGACAATATAGTAAAAAATTGACAACTATAATAAAAAATTGAAATTGATAATAGGTACTAACTAATTTAACGATATTGTATATATTATTCCTCCGTATAATAGGGAAAAGGTGTAAATAGGCCCATGTACTAACCAAAAAAGGTCAAATAAGCCCTTATTTAGGAGGCTCTGTCCGGCCGTCGTCATTTGGGGTGGTTCCCAGTGAAATTTTTTGATGAAATTTTTTGAGTATCTTATTAATCAAGTCTAGTTTACTCATACCAAATTTTAGCTAAAATTTCCTATTAATATATGCATATAAAATCTATAATAAATTGACATTTGAAAAATACATATTACAATGAAGCACATTATATAATTTTTTTGGGATAAAATATTATTAATTTTGAGTAATAAGCGGTCAAAGTTTAACAAGTTTGACCCAAAAAGTTTGACTGTGAGGTTTATTTTGAAACGGAGGGAGTAAGATAGAGCATTAGAGCTAGGTATGGTCTTAAACATATACTTCGTACATTTGTAGTTAAAATATATTTCAAGTCACAATTTGTATTTGAAGATTGGGAAACAACCGAAACATACATAATTCACACCGGTACAATATATGGAATTACAATATATATATATATATATATATATATATACATATAGGGGTTAGTTCCCGTGAGAACACCCTCTTAGGAGAGGAAAAAAGAATGAAATCTAGCCTTTTATTCATTCAATCGGATGGCTATAGAAAATGCTCGTATGACTTAATAATCAAGTGTATTAGGAAATCATTAAAAGTGAAGACGTATTGTTCAATCAACATTTATTGCGGAGGTCTTTTTTGTAAATTGATAATGCTTTGATTATCCATTAGCATCGAGCCTAAACCAACATCCCTATAATTCCGCCACGGCCAAAATTGAAAGGTGCAATCATGATATTGCATTATTCAATAAATTGTAAAGTGTAAATCATTATTTATATTTAGAAGCATTCCTCTATTATATTAGATACGTGTATGCAATTTTTGAGAAACATATAACATCAAGTGCATTAAATAATGTGTTCAGTGGAGCAATTTTAATAAAATTTATATATTCACGTATGTATTTACAATTATGTATGTTACAACATGATTGTTATTTGTACTTATCACTTTTTATAAAGTGCAATGTTAATGTGTCAAGAGTGCATGTGTGTCAAAAAGAAAGTGGGCCAGATTCTAGTGCATGAAATAATGTTTTTAGTGCAATTTGTAGGATTTTAGCTGCATGAATGAAATTATTGTAATGTGCAATATAATAAAGATAATTAGAAATGCAAATGATATTGAAATACTAATTATGCATTGTTGATAAAACTTTATGCACCCGAGTAAATTCAAAATGCACTTTATAGAGTTATTTAAGTATATGTCGTTCCAACCAATCCCTTTTTCACATTTGACCTCTTTGAAATTCATGGCCTTTAGTAAATAAAAAATAAATAATATCTGAGGTATGCATATAATTTAAGTTAAAATGGTACGGTGCACCGTGGAGTTATTTACAATAGAGTGAAGAAACGATTGATAAGTGCACTGTATATATGTGTGCACTTTTAATAAGTAAAAGTGCAATTTAAAAATTGAAGATATAATGCATCCCTAACTAATTCAAAGTGCAACATGTTTGGTATAGTTTTTCATGACTTTGAGTGCTTTAGTTTTTATAAAGTGTATCGAACCCAATATTATAGTGCACTAGTATGTATGGCATTTATTAAACATGAAATTTTTTATTTTAAAAATCATAAGAAAAACAAAGTTAGAATATACTAAATGTTCGTTGAGTACTTGAGTTGGTGCCAAGAGAGGATACACTTAAAACCATATGTACACCTAGGATTAAAGTCATAAACGTAAAAGAAAATGTAGAAAAGAAAAACACAAAGGAAGTTAATGAAGTAATCTCCCTAAAAAGCATTAATGCGGAATAGAGAGAATATAAGGCAGGAGAGTTATAACCGTAAAGGAAGTTCATTAAATGTAACCAAGAAATGGGGAGAAATTTTAGGATGCTATGCACGTTGGAAAAAGCTAAATAGCATGAAATCACAAAATCACCCTCACATCCAATACGAGATCATCTCTATTAATGGGTTGATCTAATGGTTAAGATCTATTCTTTTTTCCTCTCCTAAGATTAAGTTCTCACATGAACCTAAATATATATATATATATATATATATATATATATATATATATATATATATATATATATATATATATATATATATATATATAGGGTTTAGTTCCTGTGAGAACACCCTCTTAGGAGAGCAAAAAAAAACAAAATCTGACCATCTAATATGCTTAATCAACGATTAAGATTTGATATGTGAGTCATGGCAATGTAGTAATTAGGAAGAATTGTGAAGGGCAATTCTTATCATAAAAATAACGTGATTAATAATTAAGGGCAAAGATGTCAATGGTATTATAGCACAATCGGACCACTAAATACATTTCCTTAAAAATCTCACTTGTTTATTCATTTTCAACGGCCAAGCTTCAACTTTCCCTAAAACTTAGGCTATTAATTGTCAAGCATTAAATTTAATTCTATAGTTGGCATTTCTATTCAATAGGAAAATTAATTTAATGGCTCGTATTTTCTTTCCAAATTACGCACTTCCATTCAATTTGGACAATTAAATTTACTCCTCCAATTCTACTATTAGCTTCTTTTTTTGGCATTTTAGTAAAAACATTCTGCATCATTAATGAGAAATATCATTTTTATTATATTAATCTACAGTTTTGTAAAGTGCACATTTAAGTTA